ATTTGGCTTACAGTTGTGGATTAAATGTTTCTCAGGTACTTTATCAGTTCGTGGGAATACGAAGACACAATTGTAACACAGATCAACAATTTTATAATTTGAGATTCTAAGTTGCTTTTGTTATAACTCTTATTTAGGGATTTCAGTTTATGAACAAATAATTTTTCTTTGAATGTACTTTTATAATAATAATAATAATAATAATAATAATAATAATAATAATAATAATAACAACAATAACAATAACAATAACAATAACAATAACAATAACAATAACAATAATAATAATAATAATAATAATAATAATAAGAGTGTTTATGTTAGTTTTAAAATGAAAAAAATATTTCTGAAAAATGTGATGTTACAAATTTCTTTAAAACTAATTTATTATTCATTAAAAAGGATATTACATTAATTAAAAAAACAACAACTTAAAAAAATGCAAGAAAAACACAAAAATTCAAAAAACTCAAAAATAAATAAATAAATAAAAGAAAAACTATTCCTTGTTTTTTTTTTAACTATTTTTTTCTATTTTAGAGAATCTTTCAATTTTAGCCAAACTTTGAGATTGGAAAATGTTTGTGGGTTGTTGTTGTGTTTTCATATTACTCAATGGCCTCCTTAAGCACATAGATCTTGTTTGACCCATTTTCGTGTAGATTGTTTATAATGTTGTAAATTATGGAAATTATGACTCCTTGTCAAGTTGTTGTAAATTATGGATTTTTTTCTTTAGCTTGGCAGTCATTGATGGAAGGCTTAATTAGTGTATGAATTGCTCTCTTAAAGTAGCCTAAGTAGTGATCAATCTTGCTGGTAGTGATTTTAACCATGTTTTGGCCTTATTTTTTAATGTGATTGACAACACTTTTAAAATGAATGCATCTTTGCGTACCCCAACAATGTGAAAGTAATTGACAATTTCTTCAATTGCATCTATGTGTTGATAAGCATAAGCATCTTCGTGGTCTTTTCCATAGAATGGAGTGTTTTGTAGCATGTTGAGGAAATTCCCTTTTAGCTAAAAATTTGTTGTGCCCGGGATTCCTGATTGCATAAGACAAGGTCTGACGTCTTCTCATGTGCGTTGGTTATACTCCTCTATGGTCATCTTTGTAATATCAACCATGTTGTTTTCTGGTTCGCTTTCTTCCTCGATTTTGATTTCAGATTCTGGTTTTGGATAGGTCTTGCCTGATTTGTACCCTTCTTCTTTGTTGCCCTTCTTTTGCTTGTGAAACTCCGATTCTGGATCTTTGAACTCAGCTACTATCGTCGATGAGGATCCCTTGGTCATGTACTACTGAAACAACAGAAAAATAAAAGTGTAAAACGAACAAAAAAGAAATAAAAAACAAAACTGAAACTTAGTTTCCACGAAATGGAGAAAGATTCACCACTTCATGGTCACTAGAAAAATAGAAAACAAAAAATAAGTTTATGTGGATTTTATCCCACACAAACGATCATTCAACTAATGGCATATAATTTTCAATAAATTAAACATTTTCCCGAAAACGGTGTCAAAAACTTCATGTGTAATTTTACTACTAGTTTTAATATATCCTGCCAAATCTCAACCAATTTAAAAAAAAAATTAGGCAGTGTACCTAGTCATGAAGTAATATAGTTTAAGGTAAGATGTAACTTCATGTTTCCTACCATTTCTGGGCCATGGGCCAGAAGTCGATTGTGTAAGACTATGGGCCTTAAGGAGGCAAGGTTTAGTCCTTGTGAAAGGAGGTAATGTTGGTTAAGATATTTAAACCTTAAATTGTGTTTTGGGCCGAATGATAAAAGGGAAAAGTCATAGGCCGTGGTCTTGCATGAAATATGGATTTTTGTTCAAAAAGTTTTTAGTCCAAGAAATTTATATAATATTGTAGAGCTCTTCAATATCTTTTCGTGGATATAAAGAACATCGAAAACGGAGTTGGAACGAAGAAGTTACAACCGTTTGAAGTTAGGATGATTTTTGGACCAGCCATGTACATTGGGTGTACTGAGTATGCCTGAGTACGCTTGGCATAAATTGAGTATGCTAGGCGTACGCGATCAGTGATCAAACCCTATTTTCGTGGTTTGAGCCCTATTTAAGCTCTTTAACTTCCGCAAACCCACTCCATTCTCAACCTCCACCTCTCCAACATCCTCTCTTGTAACCCTAACCCTAAATTGAGTCTTGTGAGCAAAAAAAAATGTGTTTTTAAGTGCTTTGGAGTGTTCTTTGTGCACCTTGGAGAAGAAGGAACTCATTGAAGAAGTGTTGGTTGCAATGGAGCTTGTAGATCCAGACTTTGTCCACATTGATCTTTCTTCTAAATGTATAAGGTTTAAATCTTGATAATGAAATTGTTAGATCTAGCTAGTTGTTGGTGTTATGAGCTTTGGGTCACTTTAAGTGCATAAAGCTTAGATCTTGAAAGTTTGTGACCTTGTTATGGGTAAAGTTGGAAACTTTATCCATCTAAACATCATTTTGATTCAGATCTGAAGGTTGGAGACTTGGACTTAATGGATTAAGTTGAAAAAGATGCACTTTTGGGTCCCTTTGAGACTTAAAGACTAGACCTTGTTTGTTGGGATCATTCTAATGGATAAAGTTTGAAACTTTATCCATTATGGAACTATTATGAACCATAAAAATGTGATCTTGGCCCTTCCATCCCTTCCATACAAGAGTTGTGATGTCTTATTGGGTTAAGAACTTAGGGTTTTGGTCATTAAACACTTTATAGTCATGCAAAGGCATAAAGCTGGAAACTTTATGACTTAGGATATCATTTTGGGCATGGATCTGAATTTTGGACGTAAGGGCTTAATGGAATAAGCTCTTAATGGAGTTTTGGGACTGGGTTGCGTACGCTGGGCGTACCTGATGGTACGTTGCGCGTATGCGGTCAACACCCCACTTTTGGTCAACATCAAAATACGTTGGGCGTACTCCGTTGAGAATAAATATTGACTTTTGGATCTTAACCGTTGACTTTCTCTTTGACTTTGACCAAGTTTGAACTAAGGGCATTTTGGGTAATTTGATTTATAGTTTGAGATTTAGGTTCCTATTAATTTTATAGGTGACCGATAGAGATAGTTTTTTGAGTAGTGATCAGTTCAACTATTCTTTCAAACTATGAGGTGAGTTTCCTCACTATGTTTAACGGGTCGAAGGCACCAATATCGGCCCATGGTTTGCTATGTTTAGGATGCTAGATGTGTGCATGACTCTTGCATATGTTATGTGTTTAGATGTTTACTGGGCAGGGTTCGATGACTATTTTGTATGCTATTTATCTTTGTGATCATTGCATGTGTTTATGTGTTCATATGTTTACATGTTTATATGTATACAAGGTTGAGCCCAATGCCAGGCGGGGTCTGATGACTGACTGATTTGTTTACTGAGTGAGGCTCAATGTCGGGCAAGACCCATTATATGTTTGATATGTATGGTATGTAGTATTTTGGGGAACTCACTAAGTTTTGTTCTTACGGTTTTTAGTTTATGTTTCAGGTATTTCTGGTTCGAATGGGAAGAGCCCGAGATGATTGCAGTGCATACACCACACTGTTCTGCATTAGGATCTTAGATCTGTTCATACGACGTATCAAAGGAAACCTATTAGTATAGAAGGAAATCTTTTTGTTGAGAAAGTGAATGAAGGAATGTGTTATCAGTGATTACCGGAGGAAGCAGTGGTAAGATTTAGTGGTAGCGGGCGGTGAATAGGAGAATTTTAATGATAAGAAAAGAATTGAGGAGGTAGAAAAGTTAGACATGACAGAACAATTGTTTTAGGGTTGTGTCAACAATTAGGGAGACGACCAACTCAACGAAGAAAGGGATTTTAGGAGTTGGGATGGCCTGGGCTATTGTAATTTATTATACGCGTTTAAAAAAAGTTAATATTACACTACTAACACAATAACTCACTATCCTACTCATAAATCTACATATCTTGTCTCTAACGAGACTTGAACCCTCAACATTTAGTTGGAAGACACGTTACCGTCAAATCCTTATATGTTAGGCTATAAGCTGTTTGGTTCATAATACTTCTTCTTAGGGGTGTGTTCGTTTTTGGAACCGGAACGACTGAAAACCGAAAGTGACAAATCCTAAAATAAAAGACCGGACCGATATAATAGAATTGGTTACAATAACGGTTATCATGCATTCTTATTTCATAAGTAAAAGACAACAAACACATAAATTAGTCGTGAACTTTAACAAAAGATGACATCATTTTACGACGAACATTTATGTCTCTTAAATCTTTAAAAATTTACAAAAGATTATAGGAGTTTTATTTGCCATAAAATGTCTTTTTATTTATTATTGAGTAAATTACTGAAATTATCCCTATAGTTTGGTCAAATTTTCACGTTTGATCCCTAATATTTTTTTGCACTTGGATCGTTCTTATGGTTTGGTCAAAATGGCACGTTTGGTCCCTTAATTTTATGTATGTAAGGGACGAAAAACGCAATAAAATCGAACCACAGAGACGATCCGAGTGCAAAAAAAAAAGTTAGGGACCAAACGTGCAATTTTGATCAAACCATAAAAACGATTTCAGTAATTTTCTCTTTTTTTTTATTTTAACACAACATTTATATAATTTAAACTACACAGATTAAAAATTGGTTTTAGAACCGGTTAAGACCGAAAATACTTGGGAAAACCGAACCCAAAATACTTGGAAAATAAGCAGAGATAACTGAAAAACCAGGACTTGTTAGTACAAAAAATATGTAAACGAGGCTATCATGTCTCGTGAAAAGGAAGCATCTATCACAAAAGTTAGTTTTTATTTATTAAAAAAAAAAAGAGAGAGAGAGAGAGAGAGAGAGAGAGAGAGAGTTTTGCTACCTTTTTGTTTAGGATTTGTAAATAGTAAACATGTCGATATATAACCAAATATTGCATTTCAAGCGGTAAAAGAAAATAAGAAATCATATCAATCTATAATGAAATGATATGGCAGAGTTTAAGTAGGCAAAAATTCTGCACAATTCAGAAATAGCTACAAATAAGCTTTGATACCCCTGTCTAGGGCATGTGAGTCGGTTGACATTTAACCAAAAAAACAAGATGTTTTCAGAGTCTAAGCTAAAACATTGAACTACATTCCCAAAAAACAAATCAGGTCAATAGAACTTATAATAAAGCAGTTAGGTTAATCAGACTTATAATGACGCAGTTAAAGAGCTCCCCTCTACTTCTTCTTAATAAAGAATAGATACTGTTTATGTTTAGGGTTCAAACAGTGTTCACAGTACCTTTCAGTAGATTTAAGTAGCAACTTCATCCATTTTGCAGAATCTTACAGATCTGAAACAGATTGGTGAATGGATGACAAGTGGCAACAGATAAATATGATGAAAAGGGGACATTTGATTATATATATAACAAGCATAAGGATACAAGGAAGAACTACAGGAAACATAAAATCCACTGAATTCCAGAAATGCCCTCAAGGAAGTAAGTACAAAGGGCAGTTATCAGGAAACGGGAAAAAGGAAACCAGCTACAAACCTAACACCTTACAAAGTCATCTTTTTCAAACTCTAATCATCTTCATCCTTATCTCTTATGTTATCAAGTGAGCTTTTCATTCTTGATGTTTCACCAGCAGCATGTTGTAAATCTGACAGAGAATAAGATCTCCATGGAGAAGAATGAATCCTGGGAGATGATGAATCTGAAATTTCTTTAGTGGGTAATCTTGTAGGACGTGAAGGTAAAGGGGGAAGAGAAAGATTAGGGGATGAGCTTAAGCTTATGCTTGAAGTTTCAGTTTCACCAACTCCATTTGTGTTGTTTGATCTCTTTGATATCCCTGTTTTAGAACCAAAATTTCGATTTTTATCCAAGAATACACCATGTGCAATTATGTTTTTCCGTTTCCTGTTGTAAGCATCCTCTGGTTTACCAATGTCTTGGATTGATGGAGCAGATACTGCATCAGCTAAGCTTGTATATGACTTCGATTTTCCAGCATAGAATGTGGATATACCTCTCCTAAAATGAGAATCAGACCAACATTGAATGAGAATATAAGATAGAACTTAATTGATTCAGACAATCAGACCAACCCCTATGTTACTATCTATGAAATTCAATATATTTTGACTCAAATTAATGAGCTATGTTTCATGATTCCTTGATTCTAGAAGCACATGCATGTCAAAATCGCATACAATATTCGTTCATTAATTAAGTAACCAGTACGGACTTATCACCGATCTTCAGGATTAATATTTCTCGAATCGTTTAATTGTTGATATGAACAGGTGTAACAAAAAATTGCAATCATAGATAAAAGTAATGGATAATACAAATGATAAAACTAAGAAATCATACTTGATCGGCAAAGCCTGTTCCAAAGCGCATAAGTTATTCAATGAGCCTTTAAATAAGCTCTGAACCTCGCCGCCGCCGGCGTCATCATCGGAATCGCCTTCGCCGCCAGATGCGTCACTGTTATTGCCGATTGACGAAGAACTGCTTGAATCATGATCATCTTCATCCTTATCGACGGGGAACTTGCTGCTCCGATGATCATCTCCGGTGAATCTAGCGGTCTCCGATGAGTTGTAGATCCACATCCCTTGAGCAAACCCAGGCTGCCGGATCCGATTAGTATCACTGTTGGTATTAGACTCATACGCAACAGACATGATATTGATCAGATTAAGAGTTGCAGCATAAAAATGGATGAATTTAAACAGATAGGGATCATACAAAGACAAAAACGGAAGAACAAGTGAAAACGGATAAAAAAAGGAGAGAGGGTTTTGAGTTTTGACAGAGAGGAGAATATATCGAGGAAGATGACGAAATAAAAAGGCCTTATCCTCTCAAAGTCGCCCCACCATTTTGTCTTAAATTAATAGAATCGGATAATCAAACGCCATTATCTTGTCTATTAATTATTTGGATTAATGAGAGGTGTTTGTGTGTGTGTGCTGGTGCATGGAACTGAAATGGATCTTTTGCCGGTATTCCCCTCTCTTTGACATTTGGACTTGTTTTCATTTTTTGTCAAAGATTTATCCAATTTTTAGTTTGACTAATGCAAGTTGAACATATAGAGAAAGGATTTTAGTGAATATTATAAAATGAAATTGGTCATTGTGTTTTTTTTTTAAATCATATGTTTGGTTGGATTTTGAAAATTATATAGATTCGGTTCTAATTTCGAATATTTTGTATTTGTATAAAATCAGTGGGCCATGCCTGTTGAAACTGATTTGTAATCATATATATATATTTATAAGACAATTTATGTAAGGTTATTTATTTATTTTTTCAGAACGGCATACACATGGATACTATTTATTTCTAAATCTACGTTTGTCTACAATGGACTTAAATCCTAAATATTTGACTGATGATCCCATATATATATATATATATATATATATATATATATATATATATATATATATATATATATATATATATATATATATATATATATATATATATATATATATCATGATCCCGTTAGACGATAGACTCTTTACTAGCATTCAATCTACAACTACTTAACTAATTAACTGTCAAAGTTCAGACTCTAATCTTGCATACAGATTGCCAAGAGTCACCTCCCGATCTTTCATACAAATGCCAAGGGTCACCCCTGGGTCGGGTCTTCCTATAATGCATAAACCAAATGGGCCGGCATTGATGCATTCAACCTATAGTATAGTGAGGAGACTCACCTCGACAGCTGAACGCATGAATAAATATTTAACCGTTGATCCGCTAGAATCCCCGCGCTATCAAATAAATAACACCCAATTAACAACTGGGCTTCAAACCAAATAAATAACACCCAATTAACCATTTTACCCTTCACCTAATTTGGTCTAAGACTAAGGCCCAAACTATCCATCATAAAGGCCCATAAACCAATAATCATCTAAAGCCCACTTATGGCCCAATTTTCCAAATTGGGCCCCAATCCTTACTTGGGACATACGCTAAAGCCCATTAAATTTCCCCTAATCCAAACACTTGCTTACAGATTGTCCAACAAATCCCTAAGCAATCCAAGCCCAAATCGAAGCCCAACACACTAAGCCCATTCAGACCGAGTACGCGGGGTGTATAGGCATGTACGCGCGACATACTCACTTGAAGGCTTATACGCTAAGCGTGACTGCTTGTATGCCTAGCAGTCTCACCCTCATTCAGCCCAACTCGATTTCCACTTAATCCAATAAGACAAAGCTTCCTAACCACAGATCTAACCTCCTTGAGCTGGAACACCACGTAAAGCTGACAACTTTACATTCATACATGGCTAAAAGAAGCTCTTAAGTTGAAAAGGGTCGTAATGGTTGACTTAATGCATGCATAACTCCATAATACACATAAAGCTTGCACCTTTATGCTCAAGGATACCAAAACAAACTCAGATCTGAAAGAACAAGCCCTTAGACAACCCAACCCATCCATAAACCCAAAAAAGAGGCCAAAAACATAATAAACTAGTCATGAAGAGATCTAATCACACACAAGCCAAGATGCAAACTTGTTACCTCAAAAAGCTTCCCTACAAGATAATGATTATGGATCCAAATCCTCTTCACCACTCCAAACAACTTCAAGCTTCTCTTCTTTCCTTCCCAAGGGCAAAAATGAGCATCAAATTCTCCCAATAGCTCAAGAACACCTCCAAGAGGCTACAAGGTTGATTTAGGGTTTTTAGAGTGTGGAGGTTGACTTAGAAATAAGGGAAAAGGGCTAACATTAAGCTTATATAGGGTATATCCCTAAAAATTAGGGTTTCAACCTGACCCTCGTACGCCCAACGTACGAGCTCACACCCCGATCCTAGCCTCAAACTACGCTACACGTACTCTCCATTACGCACGACGTAACCCCCTCGCATCAGTACTCCCCGCGTACTTCCTTGGTACGCCCGGTGTACTAGGGTCTTTCCTTAAACCCTAATTCATTTCGAAGGCCATAACTTTCTCGATACAACTCTGATTCCGACCATCCTTATATCAAAGAAAAGGCATCAAGAAGCCTTACACTATTATCAACTGAAACTTGCCATACAGATCCCAGAACAAAAATCAAATTTCCAATAAAAGTCCGTTGCCATTTTACCAAAATACCCCTTTCTCCAAAACCAAATTCAAACACCCGAAACCCCAACATTTCATCAACCACGTCCAAACGGGTAACGATCCGAAATAGGGTGCTATAATCTTACATGAGATTAATTATGTAAGTTAAGAGAAACACATGAACTATTTTTGTAAACTTGCTATTAGGCAAAGATCATTTATATATATTGTGTAATATTGTGAAACATAGGGATGGATTATGTATTTTTCCTATTAGGTAGTACCATAAGTATAATTTTGGGAAATAACGAGACAATTTTTGTAACTTTGTGAAACTGTTAAACCCCCAAACCGGGACAGCGGAATCGTCCGAGGGCGGATGACTTCATTGTACAGTATCATAATAAATGAATATGAATGAAACATAACAACCAAACATCATACATTGGAAATACATACTTACATAGTTTACATATTGAACTTGTTCATCAATTACACAAAAGTAAGAAAGTTAATTTCTTGAAGTCGCACCACTTGATCTCATAGTCGAGCTTATTACCTGTTACTGGATCCGTGAGAATACAAATCGTTTTGAAAAGCGTCAACTAAAAAGTTGGTGAGTTCATAAGTAGTTTTGTATAAAAATGGTTTTTGTACTTGTTCAGAATAGTTTTCATAGTGCCTTCAGAAATCCGATATTTTCTAAAAAGAAATAGTTTGAAATATTTGTGTCCGGTCTTATATTAATGCATATGTGTTAATGTTTGCAAAAATAGAAATAGAATGATTCCAGACAACATGATGTTGTCTGCGATAGATAATGCTGGAATCTCAACCCCCGTGGTTGAGTACCAGTGCGTATATATTACCGTTTTATCAAAAAGAAGGTTTCCTGTAAATTTTATAATGTTAATTCCTCTAAGTGAGCCATTATAACCATACTTGATAATGATAATTTCGCCTGTCATGACGTCTATTAGACACCGACTTGCTTAATGTATTGTTTGTCACCCTAGACTGGCCTAGTCTAACTGTAGTGAACAGCTCAGGTGTGGGGTGTCACTCCCGTATAGATCTATACACAAACTCACGCTCTTACTCCGGGAGACTCTGGTTATAACTACAGGCTACGTTTGTACACTCATTTGGTGCCAAACGAAACTTCTCACTAGATCAAAGTTTACGCAATTACGCGAAAAAAAAAACATATAAAACTCATTCCCAGACCCAATGAATCATGTAAGTGAACCACTAAGGCATCACTAAACATGTAAGTCATTTCAAGCCCCTATAGGAATGAGATTATATAACATGGGCCCAAAATATATGTAAAAGGACAACTAATGGCGATTTCACATATAAGGTATTTACAGACCCAAACAGAACGCAAATATAATCCAAGGTCTGTCGCATATGTTAATGGGTCAATGAGGCCCCATAAACATATAAATAGTATTCAGGACCTATCAAACATATTAATGGGTTACTAATGCCTAATTTTAGTAAAAATAACACCTTAATCCCCTTTTTTGTTCAAAGCTTGTATTTATGGCTAGTTTTTGGTAAAGATAGAAATTTTAACCCATTTTTATCAAAATATCATTTTTGGCTTGATTTTTGTGAAAATACACATTTTTCTGATTTATTGACTTTTCTGACCCGGTTGTTGGAAAATTTCTAGAAAAATCATCATAAGTCAAAATTTGGATCTGTAAACTCTGGAAGTTTGGAGAATTTATCTACTTTGTTCAAAAAATTTCTCATAATTTTTAATAGCCTCAAACAAGTGTGAAATTGCTCACCCTCACAGGCTGGTCTGAGATTATTTCAACTATGATAGGCAGTTTTGTAAAATTCGCCAAAAATTGTAGAAAAATCATATGATAACGTGAGAGTAGTCATTTTAAAGGTAATAACCTGAACTTTTTTTCATGTAAAACAGTTTTGAAAAATATTACCATTAAGGGGGTCAAAACAGTCCAAGATTAGAATAAAACTTTTTTGTCAAAGGCTGATTTTTGAGTTTAAGTTATCCATGTTTGTTCACAACACTTGTTTTTGCTATTTTGAGTGTATAAATCCCAGATCTACAAAGTTTACATGTATTATATGTGATAACTCATACTTTTTTCAAGGTTTTTATGAAGATCCAAGTGATAAACTTCATGTTCAAGTAAAGATCTAAATGTTAAACACATAAACATGCACATATACATAGATCTAACGCAAAAGCACTTGTATCCTCCCCTAAAAACATTATAAAACCGAAAAAAGGGGGTATGAACTCAACTTAGGGGTTTTTGAGATGTAGATGAAGAAGAAGAAGAATCTTTGAACCTAGCTTGAGTTCTTTGAAAGAATCTCGAAATGGTGGTGAATCTAAGAGTTTTTAACACAATCAAAGGATGTAAACAAGAGTTTTAGCTTGAAAGATGTGATAATCTTTAAGATTAACAAGAGTACTTACCAAATTATAAAGGCTTGAATAGAACTTCTTGAAACACCCACACACAATCCACGAATTTCTTGGAGAAAAAGGGAGTGAGAAAACACTTTGAAGGTTAGAGAGAATTGAGAAGTGAGTGAAATTTGAAAGTGAAAATAGATAGGGGATGGTGGTGATGTTTGGCCGAGATAAGGGAGAGGAGGGGGGAGGATCCTTCCTTGTTATATGTTGGACAATAAACTCACTTCTAGATACATGCTAGGTAACAACCTACATGCATGTTATACAACTTTGAGGTGGCACACAAAACTTAATCTC